ACCTGTATGCTGATGACACCCAGATATCTCTCTCAACCCCTGACTTCTTTCCTTCTGTCCTACAACATGTCACCAATTGCCTTTCTTACATCTCTCACTGGATGTCCTCCCGCTTTCTGAAACTCAATCTTTTTCTGCAAGTTGCTTTTATTTTAATGTGTTACAATAAAGATTGGATTTTTACCACAGCGGAGTCCATAGTGGTATATCCCGAAGCTTTTAAGGTTAGAGCAGGCTCCTCTGCTCTACACTTGTGAGTGTTCCCTTCTAAAGCTTAAATATTTTTTTTAAGTGTACTTTGCAATATTGCCCTATAAGGTTGTATTTTCTTACATGTGTACCTTCAATGTGGAGTCATTTTATACCAATGTATATAGTGTGCAAGTGAAGTGTGGCACTTTACACTGCTTTTTTGCACAAGAATTGCAGCACTTTATTGTGATTTATTTATTGCATTGGTGCACATTTATTATTGCACTTAAAGATATATGCACTTTAGCAAATAGCATGTATACAAAGATTTTATATATGATCTTACTAAGTACACGTCTTAAAGACATAGCATACCTTATTTGTTCTTCATATCGTATTGAGTGCCATTTTGGGTTTATACATTGTGTGAGGTGCAGCTTTTTATTTAATTAGTTTCTTTGGTGTGTTTATTAGTGCCATTTGTTTATTTGTTTGTTTTAGTTTATTTCACAAACCTGCCTCTTACTCTCTCCTAAAGGGCCACACTCCACTCTCACCTCCAGTTCTGCTACTTTCCCACCATGTTTATTTGCTGCCTCTCTCAATACCCTCCCTATTGTGTTCTATACTCCACCTTCTGTAGACTGTAAGCTCGTTTGAGCAGGGTCCTCATCTACCTATTGTTCCTGCAACTTTTCGTTATTGTCTCATTTATTAAATCCCCCTTTTAATGTACAGCTGGTGCTATATAAATACCAATAATCAGAAGATAGTTATTTAATTTTAAAATGTTTAGCATCAGTATCTAATTTAAGACTTTTCAAAACAGGGGAATGATCGCTCCATGTAATATTACCTATAGATATATTGTTAACCCAGTCTAAATGATGATAAGATATCAGCACCAAGTCTATTCTTGTACATTTTTTATGTAACTGGGAAAAACATGAAAGTCTTTAGTATGCTTGTTATTTACTCTCTAAGGGTCTATTAACTGTAAAGCAAGTAATGCACTCTTAACCCTGGCAATACTGGAATACGGTAGATGGGATTCACAATCATAAGAGTCCCTAAACGAGTTTCCTGTTATTTTATTAATGTAAGTATCTAAAAAAAATGTCTCTTGGAGGAAGGCGACATTAACTTTAAATATGAATAAATCATGGATTAAGCAAAACATTTTTATTATTTAAGTCCTTTATAATTAATAATAAAAAAATTTACATATTTTTTGATATTTAAAAAAAATGTTTAAGCATTTATGCAAAAATATTAAATTGGGGCATGATATTATCTAGAATATTTTATTATACAGCTGCCTACTGGCCACATGTCCCATAGCATCCCCTAAAGCAAAAGTGTCCTGCCTTGATGACTTGAAAAGTTGTATTAGAAATAATTACCTATACTATGGTAAATGACAAGTACTAATTATTATAATTTACAGTTTTTACTGTAAGGAAGGAAAATATGCTATTTTCATATTTTTATTAATTATTTGTGCCAAGTTGACCCTTCATTCTTCAATAAAATTATTTTTACAATGAAATGAGAATCATTAAACAGGGAATGTCACTTTTCTGAAATTTACACTATTGAATAAAACATTTAAATCACGTAAAACTTGTATCAATATTTTTTTTCATGAGATTCTCTTTTAAATCTATATGTATCTATAATTAATCTAGATTTAGTAACTGACATCATAATCCAGTTCAGACAAGGCAAAACCAGGGCAAACTCTGTAACGAAAGAGGAGAAATAGATACATTGTTCCATGTATCCTCTTCTCTGTATGCTTCTTCTATGCCGACTGCCATGTACAAAGAACAGAGTATGTATCACTGTTTGACAGTGACCTAAAATGGAGGCACTCAGTTATAGGACAAAGAGGTGTGGCTATTTAAATTTTATTTTTAACACCTTATAAATACATATTTGTTTAATATAGGTATTAGTAAACGTAATATTAAAAACCCTGGGGAATTATAGCTCCCCTTTAAAGGGTCACTCTAGACCCCTAAACAACTATAGCTTGCTGAAAAGCTTTATCGGTGAAGAATGTTTCCTGTTTTTCTTTTTTCTTTTCATCTTTTCCTTGTGCAAAAAGTGCAGATATAAATAGAAATTTACACTTTTATAAATTTACCTGGTTACACCTCCTGGCTTTTAAGCAGTCAATAGGTAATGTTATTTCCTGGTTTTGTTAGCTCAATTCAGCTGACCTCAAGAAGCAGCAATTGTCGAGAGCACCTGATTTACAAAGAATATTAATTGAGCTGTATTGGGAAGTCTGTGATTGGACAACCACAGAAAGTCTGGGCTTGGTTAGAAGGGGAGGACTTGCAAAGTCAGCAGACAAGAGAACTGCAGATTTTGCAAGCTGATTTTAGATAAAATGCCCTTGCAAAAAAATGTATAATTAAATGCATGCAAGTTTTCATTTGGAGTATATCTACTAAACAGGGATTTTTATTTATTTTTTATTTGGGCATTGGAGTTTCCCTTTAAGCTAAATAATAATAACAATGTATATCCAGACATTGTTATTATTCTGCCCTTACTTTAGAGTTTCTTCCTATGCCTTTCTTTAACTAGACAGATAGATAGCTCATCTATACACTTACGTATTTGAATGGTTTTATTGAAGCTTGTCATTAGTATGGAAAGTGTTCAGGGAACAAGGTCAATGTACACAATCCCAAGAATGTGATTAGTTTGCATGGTGAACATAGATGCACTTCGTAACTTCTGCATACACAAGCTGGTCCTGTCTGTTATTATGGAATTACCGGTAACTAACTTTTTTAGGATAGTAGTATTAAGGGACACTACACTCACCAACTCCACCTGCTGGCCAGGTGTGGATGCTATAAAAACACAACAGTTGTTATTATTCCATATCATAATGGTATTTATTTTCTCAACTTTAGCAGAATGAAAGGCTACATTTGACTGCCATGCGATATGAATCTAGCTGTTGTGTTTTGAATACCAGTATGAAAGTGTTATCTCTGGCAGTGCATGGCTCTACTCCAAATATTCTAAGCATATTGCTTCATTTCACAAATGTTGTTAAAAGTAGTTTCATAAATAATTTATTCTTTATTTTTAAATATTTTAGGAAGCGTGAAACTAAACTAAATATTTTACCTACATGTAAGACCACCTTATAAGATTCCAAAATGTGCCGGGGTCATATTGAAATAGAGAGGAATTAACAAAGGAACTGCAAGTTCTAATCTTCAATTCATCCTTTTTTTTTTAGCTTCAAGTTTGGCCAAACGTTTTCCATTGCTTAACAGATTGCTAAAGGGACACTGTAGGCACCCATACCACTTCAGCTAATTGAAGTAGGTGCTGTGACCCTTTTGCACTTAGTGCTGCAATGTAAAACATTGCAGTTTCAGAGAACTGCAATGTTTACATTGCAGCACTAAATCTTCCCTCAGAGGCTATCTACCAGACAGCCACTGGGTGTGCTTCCGGAATCGTAACAGACTTTTGGTCCATTAACTGATGCTGGATGTCCTCACGGTCTGTCAGATTTTCCCCATAGGAAAGCATTGATTCAATGCTTTCCTATGGGGCGGGCTAATGCGCCTGCAGCATTTGCTGCGCATGCGCATTAGCCCCACTCATCACAGGATGGAGGAGGGGGTGGAGCTTTGACCCAGCACCAAAGGGACATCTGCACTTGGATAAGGAAAGTAAATAAAGTGTTTTTAACCCATTATTTACCAGGGATGGGGCGGGGGAGGGGACACGAGGGAAGGGGGAGGCAGAGGGATCAGTAGTGCAAGGAATGCAGCTTTGTATTCCAGGCACTACAGTATCCCTTAATTATTTAGTTACAAATAGAGCAATTAATTTGTGTTTGCATACTGCAACTTTCTCCTTACACAGAACTTATTTCCATACTCCATACTTAAAGTAGTGTCAGTGGCAAAGTGATTACTGCTACATACTAACAACAAGTTTACATGATACACGCTTGCATTTTACTTATGTCCTTCAGTATTGATACTCAGAAGCACAGACATAAGTGGGCTACAAAGGTATTGCAATGCAACATCTCTACCGTCCAATAAACCATACAGTGAACAGCTCTGCCATTGTTGCTTGATTTTTTTCTGTGATTCTGATTATGTTGGCAGAGCATCTGTGGTTTATACCAGGCCAATGTCACTGGGTTCCACCAAAGTGCAGTGTGCATGATTTATATTTATAGTACTCCTCCATGAGTACTGTTCACCACTAAGCATTTACCATTTTGAAAAAGGCACATTTATCCGATCATTGCCATAGCTATGCCCTCGGGACACTATAAAGTTTGCTCAGTGTCTGCATTTGTATATCCAAGTTTCCCTTAGTGTTCGCACTTGACCTGACAAATTTTAATAAATAAATATGAAAATATTACATTATCTGATCATTATTTTGAAGGCCAGATCATGTTTTAGAATCCAACACTGCACAAATGGTGACATCATCCATAAAATAATTCCCCATAATAAACAGATAATAATTGATAACATTTTAGATTGTAAGCTTGTTGAGCAGGGCCCTCTTCACCTACCATTCCATTATGGCAATTGTGTTTTGTTAGAAACTGATAAATATATTGATGCTATATAAATAATTGTAGTTATAGATCACCGTCATACAGTCCGAGGGCCGTAACAACATGCAGATGCCCATTTTAATGTGTAGCCTGCTGTTGCAAGCTGTGCCGACTGCCTGGAGCCCCTGTTGCCATGGCATCACACAGTTTTCCCACCCCAAAAGCCCGCCCAGTCCTACATTACCTAAGCACTTATTACACTAACTCTAGCCTAAATATATCAAATAATATAAAAGATACGTAACAGTGAGCCATGTATTATGGGAAAATAATGCCATCGCTGGATTCTGAAGACATTTATTAACTATGAACAACTCGTTATCAATTCCGTGGTTCATTATGATGTCTCCAGAACCACACAAAAGGATTCATTTTCCATAATATATGGTTACATCTATACAAATATATATTTTTTATGTCACATAACAAAAAGTAAGCATGGATACTAGGTTATAAATAGCATTTTGTATCTTGTGTTAATCTCTATGGAACATGTTAAAACATTTGTCATCCGCTAGTTACCAGTCTCTAAACACTTCATTTCATGATAGTAATGATCATTTTACAATTACTGGCTTGATAGTAAATGATTAATGACAACTTTGGAAACAACAACTTTGGTTCTATATGTGTGAACAGATCCATATTAAAATTGTTTCTTGTCTGGAAGTATTCCTTAAGAAGTGAACATTTGGGCTTTTCACATTCATGGTTAAGTGGCCAGTTTTAAGTCACATAGTATCCTTAACAAGAAAAAACTCAGGCTCACTTTAACTTATGACCAGACAAACAGCATTTCAGGGCTGTCCACACAATTCAAAGACATCAACACGCAAGATTTTAGGTAAGATATTTTAATGGGGTTTTTTTGCCATTATTTACCTAAGCTACAGAATGCCACTTCAAAAGAATGTTTTTTTTTCTCCGCCAGATGTAATCACTGCCTTTGAGCAAGGTGCTGTAGGTCTTGTCTAATTAACAAAATTATTTTACAATTATTACATTGTACCACTACAGCATAACCAAGCCTTAATCAGAAAAATATTTCTGATTAAATAAAATACAAATTTTATTCCGATAGTATTTTCTTACTTTCACAATAATCATAGTCAATGACACAGGTATTGGCTAAAATCAGTGGAGCAGAATTTATAGAAAGAAACTATATTAGACACACTTAATTGTCTATGCTAAACATTTAGTAGAATAAATAATAGAACTAAAAAAAATTATATGTAAGTAGAAGAAAACAAGAAATAAAAATGGTGTAGTGAAAAAAGGATTTGGATTAAAAATATAATAGTAATAGTACAACCATTACCACAAAATGCTTAAAACCAAATATGTACTAATGTAGGACATTATTAATTTAGAGACAGACAAATAAAAAGAGACACAGATAGACAAGGATAGATAGATAGATAGATAGATAGATAGATAGATAGATAGAATGATAGATAGATACACAAGATCCAGCGCACTCACCTATCCACTAAACAGCAACTTCAATGTTGAAAGATTTTATTTGTTTTTTTTAAAAACACCTAATCTAGGCAAAAATAATGGGGGTTTAGTTACATTATATGATCATACATTGCATAAGCCTGCCACAACGTCAATGTACCCTATCTTTGGCATGTAACTAAACCCCCGTTATTTTTGCCTAGATTAGGTGTTTTTAAAAAAACAAATAAAATCTTTCAACATTGAAGTTGCTGTTTAGTGGATAGGTGAGTGCGCTGGATCTTGTGTATTGTATTATTTGGCCCCCAGCAGCACCCCCATTTATGCATGTTCAGGTGAGTGCAGCCAACCCCTCCTTGTTTCATATAGATAGACAGACAGACAGACAGACAGATCGATCGATCGATCGATCTTAAATAGGACTGATCTATGTGATATATTTTAGGATTAAATACAGTGCACTTTCTTCTGATCACATTTGCTGTCTTAGTATCAATTAGCCTGGAGGCAGATTTGACAGTTACCTTTTGAGGGTAAATTTTCCACTTGAGAGATTAGATGAGACAGAGTAAATTGAAGGTTTCAGAGTGCAGATCTGGTGAACACAAAGATAATCTACAATTCCAGGTGGAAACCAGAAGTTCTTATTCAATTAGAAAGAACACATATTATATAAAGAAAAAGTCCCAGTCAATTTTATTACCTCTATTTTAAGTAAATACTTGTTTTGCAGCAACTGGCTCTATAATTTTAGACAGAACATCTGCTGTCTGATGACTGTATCTAATGAACTGGGAGAGTTTACTCCACAAACTTGAAATGGTTTAAGTCTTCTTATCAGCATTTTAAAATATGTTTTTAGTACCAGATGTTTCCCGGAATGCAAATAGATTATATAAGATTATTTCATGTTTTATAAAACGTACAGCATAAGGAATGATTGTTTGAGTGCCGTTGCATGTGACCCAATCTTTTGTAATAAATCTATCAATGAGTTGGTAGTGTGCTATCAAATCCCCTTTAAATATTTCCCCCAAAACTGACAATGCATTGTCACTCAAGAGGGTGGACCGTAAAAAGTGTCAGATAATGACGATTGTAAAGTAGAGAAGATACACAATTACCAATACTTACTCCCAGATGAAGTTTGATTATTCAAACATCCAACAGGGTAAAAACTTTTCAACACATTTCATATCTTTGTCAAGGCTTGAGCCCCCAGCTTTTTTTAAGATAGAAAGATAATATTAGGAGCCCTAACATTTTGCCATTGTACTAGTATATTTTCAATAAACCTGAATGAATAAGGAGGATCTTCATATATGGTTCCTTATTTGAAAGTGGTCTGAGTTTAATATTTGTCTGTGATTTTGGAAATGCTGGATTTGTGGAACATTATATTGAGCACCGAGGACCTGGGGAGGTTACAGTCTATATTAGTGAGTAAATTGATTGCCATTAGTCTGCCATATAGTATTATTTCCATACACTGGGGTAGTGGCATACATTTTCATTGTGCATTATATTTGCCCAAACTCAAGTGCCTTACTTAATTGAAATGTGAGTGAGTACCTTTTCACAATATTACTACAATGATACTTGCCACTTGTATTTTCCTCAAAAAATAATTAAAAAAACAAGTATTAATTCAACCTTAATTTTAACCCTCTTTCATTCAATTTCCTTATGATTTCTCACACTCATTGACCACTTATATTATTTAAAATAATTTATTCCTATTCTTTATTGATTGACTGACTACGGCAAAGGTCTACAACCCAAAAATGACCATCCCAACTGGCTCCGGGGAGTCCCAGGGAGCACCATTCCAACTGACTCCAGGGAGTCCCGAGGAGCCAGTTTACAAGAATTAAACGGAATTGTACAGATATACAAAATTTTATTGAGCAAGCTTCATTTTTAAAAGAAAGGTTTTTAGAAAAAGGATACTCAAATACTTTTTTAGAACAAGAGATTGACCAAAAAATAAGATAAATAGGAACAACTTTTTAATGGATATACAAATTACCAACTTATCTTCTGATGACTATTTAGGCTGTTCCTTTGTAACACAATATAATGCACAAGCTTTTAAAATTAAAAAGGTATTGGAAAAACATTGGCCAATTTTATTGGAGGATGAGTTTTGAAAGATCAGCTACCTCCAGCACCTAAAATGATTTTCAGAAAAAGCAGGAATTTTAAAAATATTTTAACACCAAGCACTTTAAGAATGGGTGAAAATCGAGATTTGTCAAATAAAGGCTTCCATAAATGTGGAATCTGTAAAGGTTGCCGATATTTGCCAAAGAAAACCCTCAATTTTAAAAGCAAAGATATAGGGGAATATTTTCAGATTAAAGAATACATCACATGTACGACCACTCGTGTAGTTTACAGGGAGTGCAGAATTATTAGGCAAGTTGTATTTTTGAGGATTAATTTTATTATTGAACAACAACCATGTTCTCAATGAACCCAAAAAACTCATTAATATCAAAGCTGAATATTTTTGGAAGTAGTTTTTAGTTTGTTTTTAGTTATAGCTATGTTAGGGGGATATCTGTGTGTGCAGGTGACTATTACTGTGCATAATTATTAGGCAACTTAACAAAAAACAAATATATACCCATTTCAATTATTTATTATTACCAGTGAAACCAATATAACATCTCAACATTCACAAATATACATTTCTGACATTCAAAAACAAAACAAAAACAAATCAGTGACCAATATAGCCACCTTTCTTTGCAAGGACACTCAAAAGCCTGCCATCCATGGATTCTGTCAGTGTTTTGATCTGTTCACCATCAACATTGCGTGCAGCAGCAACCACAGCCTCCCAGACACTGTTCAGAGAGGTGTACTGTTTTCCCTCCTTGTAAATCTCACATTTGATGATGGACCACAGGTTCTCAATGGGGTTCAGATCAGGTGAACAAGGAGGCCATGTCATTAGATTTTCTTCTTTTATACCCTTTCTTGCCAGCCACGCTGTGGAGTACTTGGACGCGTGTGATGGAGCATTGTCCTGCATGAAAATCATGTTTTTCTTGAAGGATGCAGACTTCTTCCTGTACCACTGCTTGAAGAAGGTGTCTTCCAGGAACTGGCAGTAGGACTGGGAGTTGAGCTTGACTCCATCCTCAACCCGAAAAGGCCCCACAAGCTCATCTTTGATGATACCAGCCCAAACCAGTACTCCACCTCCACCTTGCTGGCGTCTGAGTCGGACTGGAGCTCTCTGCCCTTTACCAATCCAGCCACGGGCCCATCCATCTGGCCCATCAAGACTCACTCTCATTTCATCAGTCCATAAAACCTTAGAAAAATCAGTCTTGAGATATTTCTTGGCCCAGTCTTGACGTTTCAGCTTGTGTGTCTTGTTCAGTGGTGGTCGTCTTTCAGCCTTTCTTACCTTGGCCATGTCTCTGAGTATTGCACACCTTGTGCTTTTGGGCACTCCAGTGATGTTGCAGCTCTGAAATATGGCCAAACTGGTGGCAAGTGGCATCGTGGCAGCTGCACGCTTGACTTTTCTCAGTTCATGGGCAGTTATTTTGCGCCTTGGTTTTTCCACACGCTTCTTGCGACCCTGTTGACTATTTTGAATGAAACGCTTGATTGTTCGATGATCACGCTTCAGAAGCTTTGCAATTTTAAGAGTGCTGCATCCCTCTGCAAGATATCTCACTATTTTTGACTTTTCTGAGCCTGTCAAGTCCTTCTTTTGACCCATTTTGCCAAAGGAAAGGAAGTTGCCTAATAATTATGCACACCTGATATAGGGTGTTGATGTCATTAGACCACACCCCTTCTCATTACAGAGATGCACATCACCTAATATGCTTAATTGGTAGTAGGCTTTCGAGCCTATACAGCTTGGAGTAAGACAACATGCATAAAGAGGATGATGTGGTCAAAATACTCAT